CCCCCCTCCCTCTCCCCTTCCTCTTCCCCCTCTCCCTTACCGACCTCTTCCCGCCCTCCCTATTCCCCTTCCTGGGTCTCGTGTCTTCCTCGTCTTTGGGGGGGAGGGACACAGGAAGCAGCTGTGGGATCGCAAAAGGGTGACAGTACCCCCGAAACACAGCCGGTCCCATCCCATCTCCCTCAAGAGCTGACTGGCCCTGGAGAGACCTGGGTGGCAGAAAAGGGGGGAGACCCGGGTCCGGCTTCCCTTGGCCACCCCCTGCAGGCAGCCACCGGCTCCGGCATGGGGGGACGCTGAGGCCGGCCTTAAGGTTTCTGTGAAAGCCGCTCCGCAGCCCACCTGCCAGCTGACATTCCCTCCCTCCTCCATGGAGATATACAGATGTCCAGGCTCCAGCAATGGCTCCTGCCTCCAGCATCCACTCTGCCCCCGGGGAGAGACCCTCAGAGGGAGACACCCTCAGGGAGGATGTCCAATCTGCCTATCCTTAGAAGTGCTTCTGCCACCGCCCCCTAGACAGCACGGGGAGGAGAGGGGAGATGCACAGACCTTGGGCCTCCCCTCTGAGGGACTGTCACCACTGTATGCTATTTACAGAGAGAAAAGCTGGGTTCAGAGGAGTCAAGTCACCAACCTGTGGTCACACAGCAAGTTAGCAGACGCTGGGATTAGAATCCAATCTGGAGAGACTATGACTGTGCCTGGGTCACCCTACCAGCTGATGCCAGCACCTCCATCCTAGCTGGTGCCAGCTGCAAGCTGTGAGCAGCTGGGTAGGCTCCTGGACAGCCCAGCCCTGGCTCTTCCAAGGACAGTGTGCAGAGACCCAGCTCCTACCCTCCCACACCTCCTTCCAGTGCTCTGAGGCATGGCCAAGATCTTGAATCAAAGGCAGCCCAGACCAGGGGCGCAGTGGCTCACGCCTGTCATCCCAGCACTTTGGGAGGCCAGGGTGGGGAGGATTGCTAGAGATCAGGAGTTCGAGACCAGTCTGGGCAACATAGCTAGACCGAGTCTCTATTAAAAAAAAAATTAGCCAGGCATGGTGATGTGAACTTGTAATTCCAGCCACTAGGGAGGCTGAGGTGAGACCTTGACTCAAAAAATAAAGGTGGGGAGCCCAAATTCACAACTGGTGCCAGCCCCGGCAGGGACCTAACGCTCAGGGCACCACCTCTCAGCTTTCAAAGTCCCACCCCCGTGCCTGGCACCCAGCCTCACTAAACACACGGTCTTCCATCAACTGTAACTTGACAAATTTATTGAAGTCTTGGAAAGAGCGGATCACCCAAGAATAAATAAAAGACACGGAACATTCACAGAACCGATAGGTAGCTCAAGACTCAGGTTTACGGGAATGACTTTGACCTACACGCGTGCCGGCCTATGTGTCTGGGACGTGGCTGCAGACAGCTCCCAGAAACTTACAAAAGTATCTGATGGGGAAGGCAGGGCAGGCTCAGCGGAGCCCATTCCTCCTCCAGCGGTAGCGATGCCCTGACCTGCCAGCAGGCAGAACCAGCTCAGATGGGGCCGGCTTTTGGCAACAGACATCAGTAGGCAGAGCCTGGACACCAAGGGCCTGGGGTGGCTGTGACTGGGGCTGGAGGGGGGATGAAACCATCTGGGCTGGGGTCAGCTCTCCATGGGCTTAAAGAATTGATCTCAGAGTGAAGGATCCCCAGGGATTTCTGCCCCCTTCACAGGGCACTCAAGAAGAACAGAAAGATCTAGAAATCTGAGAGAGGGGGTCCAGGGCCAGGGAGGCCCGAGGCCTGGGGAGGGGAGAAGCCCTCTCCTTTTTGTCAGTGACCACAGAGCACACCAGAGTCGCCCCCACTCTGCACCCTCATGGCCACCTCCTGCCTAAGGTGGGGCCATGGGGTTAACAGCTCAGAGACATACGGAGCCTGGGGGTGAACACAAAAGTCTTTTTTTTTTTGAGTTGGAGTCTCAGTCGCCCAGGTTGAAGTGCAGTGGCACACTCAGGGCCACCGCAGCCTCGACCCACTGGGCTCCGGTGATCCTTCCACCTCAGCCTTCCAAGTAGCTGGAACTACAGGCATGCGCTACCACGCCCAGCTAATTTTTGATTTATTGTCGAGACGGGGTCTCGCCAAATTGCCCAGGCTGGTCTCAAACCCCTGGGCTCAGACAATCTTCTTGCCTCAGTCTCCCAAAGTGCTGGGATTACAGGCTTGAGCCACCACGCCCGGCCTCTTTTTACTTTTTAATTTTAGAAGTGAAAGTATTTTCCAGCCCCAGGGATGTGCTGGTCTGGGCTGGGCCTGACCACCCCCGAGGCCCGGCCTCTGCAGGGGTGACATTTCATGTCGAGAAACAGCAGCAGGTACGCAGGTCAGTAAAGGGGAGAAATTTGCTTACAAAAAAAGACCCGAGAGTCACCGGCTGCCTGGGCAGCCACCAGGTGGGCCAGCCCATGTCAGATGGGTGGAGGAGTCAAGCGGGACCCTCAGGCTCAGAGAGGGAGCTGCCGGTCAGCAATGGGCAGGCTCCCCAGCTGCCAGCCCTCCCTTGACAGTCTCGTCGGCTTCCTCAGAGATCAGCCCCGAGCCACCCACCCAGGGGCAGCGCCGCCACGATTCCTTGTGTCCGGTGCTGGGTGGAGCAGGGGCCTGGGTCAGAACTGAGCGTGGTCCACCTCGTCCAACCAGGAGGCGGGGCTGGCAGGGAAGTCGGGGTACCCCCCGCTGCTCCCCGTGGATAGGTCAGAGCTGGGTCCGTTCCCGGTCAGCACCCTCATGGGTGGGGGTCCGCCTGGGGTCCCCGAGGGCACCAGGCCCAAGCTGGCATCGGGGTACACCAAGCTGGAGAGGAGGGGCTGGGGGCCGGGGAGGCTCTGCGGGGCGGCAGGGGATGGCGGCACGCCGTAGGGACTGCTGGGGCGCAGCTCTCGGAACTGCTCTGGGCCTGCCAGGCCTCCGTGCTCCAGGGAGAAGCTGCCCAGGGCTCCCGAGGGTCGGCCCAAGGTCGAGGCAGGCTCCCCCAGGCTGCTGTAGAGACCGTTGGCGGGGCCCATCTCTGCCATGGAGGGCTCATCTGTGGAGGAAGCGAGGGATCCCATCAGCGCTGGCCAGCCCTGTGTCCTCTCCTGCAGGGGGAGCCACCACCAGGCCAGAGCAGGGGTGACAGCCCCAGTCACGCAGCGGGTCCGCGAGGCTCCTTCTGCTCTCAAAACTGACGGCTGCCCCCTGCCCCGCCCCCTCCCACCCTGAGTTAGTTCTGCTCAGTCCTACCGGTCCGGTTTCTGAGGATAATAGTGGATTCCTGGTGGGATGAGAGCCTGGAGTAGCCCAGTCAGGGTCCGGGGTTCCAGGTCCACCCCCAAGGCCACCCAGGGAGGAAGGACAGATGCCACCCTTGCATTTTGTAGATGAGGGCATTTAAGTCCAGAGGGGAAGGGTGAGTGGCCTATGGTCACAAGGTGGCCCAAGCTTCTTGGACACACTTTCTGAGATGGACATGAGGAGGTGGGGTGTGGTGTCCCCCGTGCCAGAGAATGAAACCAATAATCTGGTCCAACTGGGAGCGGTGGCTCACGCCTGTAATCCCAGCACTTTGGGAAGCCTAGGCAAGAGGATCACTTGAATCCAGGAGCTCAAGACCAGCCTGGGTAATATAGTGAGACCTTGTCTCTACAATAAAATAATAAAATAAATTAACCAAGGATGATGGCACATGCCTATAGTCCTAGCTACTCAGGAGGCTGAGGCAGGAGGATCACCTGAGCCCAGCAGGTCAAGGCTGTGGTGAGCCATGATCTTGCCACGGCACTCCAGCCAGGGCAATAGAATGAGACCCTGAATAACAATAACAACAACAACGACAACAAAATAATAATAATAGGGTTCCACAGAGGAGAGTGGAACCTCTCTCCTCAGCCTAGGGGAGCCCCTCCTCCAAGCGGGGACTTTCCATCCTTCCCCCCAAAATGTTTCCTGTCCTCCTAAAGGTCACTGTGAGGACTGAGAGCCAGAGGGTGGTTCTGAACCCCCCACAGCCCAGCAGGTGCCGGCTCAGGGGCAGGCCGGGACACAGGGGTTCTGTCCACCTGGAGGAAGAGCGGTGGTCCTGATGGCCACCCAGGGGCCTGGGGTCGGGACCAGGGTATGTAAAGAAATGTTTCTGTAAGTCAAGCTGCAGAGGCCACCAGCCGGGACCCGCGGGAGTCCAGGCTCCTTGCCCCCCTCGAGCCACGCCCTTGTGCCCCGGGCTTGCCTGCTGGCTGCGCGCAGCCTTACCCGTGAAGGAGACCTCCGCGTCGCTGTCTTGGCCCTCCTGGACGCTGTCCTTGTCCGACTTGGAGCCGCCCCGGGAGCGCTTCATGTTGCGGAAATACTGTCCCCAGCGCTGCCGGCCGGCGTCCTTCTTCAGCCTCTTTTCCTTGGCCCGGCGGTTCTGGAACCAGACCTGGGGCCGGGGCGGAGGCCGGGTGAGCGGAGGCGCGGCCGGGCGCGGGGCTG